GTGACAGTAACAGTAGCTAGAATGTGATGCAAAAATGCCATTAGGCCAATCTACTGTATGTAAATATGATGTAAAGAGTCAAAATAACAATAAATGTTGCCTAAATAAACCCAATTTAGAATCCACTAGAGCCAAACCTAAGCTTTTTAATCAATTCAAGATTTACAGTGAATTTTTACATCACTAAATATATCGGCGATTATATTGGCTATCGGCAGCTCCAACTCCCATTATATCGGTTTCATATCGGTCACAACAAAATCCATATCGGTCGGGCTCTAATTACAATATATTCTGCAGTGCTGATGTAGTTGTGCAATTCTACCACTAGATGACCCCACAACTTTTAAAATAATGTATTAACGATCTAATCCCCTCCAAGATTCTACTACTGTATTTTAAAATAACAGTATTTTTACACACAGGCGACTCAGTTTCTTGAAATGTTGACTTTCTTTGTAAATGTTAAAAACATAAAATATAAAAACATGAAAAAAACTATTGACAGGGACCCCTGCTTGTCTCCATGGAGATGTTATTGTTCCATGTGAATGTATGGCATTCAAAAAGTCCATCTACAATTTATTTTATTCGAGGTGTTATTATTACTAAAAAAAAAAAAAAAAAAATCTTGGGTGTATGTTGTAGCCTGATGTTGCCAGCTGCTTGTCTCCATGGAGATATATCCGTTTAATGCCGTATTGTGGAACAAATCCGGGTAAAGCAATATTATTTGTATTCTGTTCCTCATTTCTGTAATGCAATTCTGTTGGTTTAAGTTTATCAGTAATACTATTGTTATCCTCAGTTTCTCCTCTTATATTTATATAGAGCAATAGGCATGGGTCTATGAAAATATGAGACAAAAATAATATTTTTAATGTTTATAAGTAAAGAGGGGGCCAAAAAAGACTGGGTCCCGCTGTATTACTCAGGCTGCACTACAGCGTCTATTCACAGGCGCGATCCCACTACTGAGCGGCACGGGGGCTTTGACCTGCTCCGTTTCCGACCTGGGCCGGTGCACCCCTCCTTAGACGACCTGGTGGTCCCGGGCTCCCCCAGGAGCACCATATCGATACCGAACTTAGTGCGGACACCCGATCGACATAGTCCGCTGCAGCTCAGAGCTCCTGAGCTCAAACGATCCGCCAGCCTCAGCCTCCCGAGAGCTTGGATTACAAGCGCGCGCCACCGCACCCGGCGACACCCACAGAGCTCACGAGGACATCTGAGGTTTACCTGTGTGACGTCATACATTTGTGGAAATCTCATTGATATTTTGTTATGAATAATTAATAAAATACACCGACTGAATGTTTTATCATGCCATTTTGAGCAATAAAAGTTCCTGTTTTTAGACTCCCATGCAACTTTTATTGCCAGACAATAATTTGTTGAAACAAAAATATCAAGACTGTGAACTTCTTTAAACACATACCCGTACTGTTAATTGTATATATGCTAAACTAGTTTATCACCTCCAATGAGATTTCCACAAATGTATGAAGTCACACAGGTAAACCTCAAATGTCCTCGTGAGCTCTGTGGGTGTCGCCGGGTGCGGTGGCGCGCGCCTGTAATCCAAGCTCCCAGGAGGCTGAGTCTGTCGGATCGTTTGAGCTCTGGAGCTCTGAGCTGCAGCGGACTATGTCGATCGGGTGTCCGCACTAAGTTCGGTATCGGTATGGTGCTCCTGGGGGAGCCCGGGACCACCAGGTCGTCTAAGGAGGGGTGCACCGGCCCAGGTCAGAAACGTAGCGGGTTAAATCCTCCGTGCTGCTCAGTAGTGGGATCGGGCCTGTGAATAGACGCTGTAATGCAGCCTGAGTAATACAGCGGGATCCTCTTTACTTATAAACTATACATTCAACACATTATTTTTGTCTCATATTTTCTCTCTAAATAACTATAATTTGAACGCTCTTAAGTTAAGAGCGTAAAGAGAAAACGCATGCTGAGCACTTTCCTGCGCTTGCTGTGTAGTGTCTTCTGCAGGCACTAAACCAGATGATAACTGATGATGGACAGAGAGGAACTCCTCTGCACCGAGTCGCACAAAGACTTGATGAGGAGGAGTGAACAGGAGCAGGAGGGCCAACTCACACAAACACCTACATACAAAAAACTTAAATAAATAAATACATTAATTAATAAAAAAAAAAAAAAAAAAAAAAAAAAAAACTTAGTCTTGTCTCGTTCTTGTAGATTCAGTCTTGTCCTGTGTGGAAATTCTATCTCGTCCCATGCCTACTATTTTCTGATCTGTTATTATGTATTTTGTTTCATTCACACATATTTATCACACAAACATTGCATGTTTAGGCTGAACTCTTCTCTCAAACACTCTGTTCCACCCTGTGATGTAATGTGATAATACAGCAGAAGAGAGTTGTGTTTCCAAACATTTCTCAGGGCTGAAGCTGCCCTCATGTCTTTATGTTGAGTCTGTGAGGACACAACACGGCAGGTAGAACTGCATGGGAACTGGATACTTACTACAGTCTTGAGAGAATACACCTCACTTTGCAGTAAATTCTTGGGTAAGTTTAAAGATGTTATATGCAACTTTTCTGAGGGAGAGATCGTCGTGGCAGAAAATCTGCCAGCCTCTGCCAAATGCACACATTATGAAACACGTAGAGCTGCGTTGTTACACTTGTATCTTACCGTTACCTCACCTGTCCCCATCGCCATAGAATCAAATGAGTAACATAGGTGATGTTTTTAACTGTCAAAAATATATCTATTAATCTAAGGAACGTCTGCCTGTTTGTTTCTTTGTTTGTTTGTTTTTGTTGGTTTGTTTGTTTGTCTGTTCCACACATAACTCTCAAACCACTTATCCGACCAATCTCAAATTTGTCGTCCTAATGGGATGGGTGTGTGCAGTGCCACTTTTCATGTTGTTAGGGCAAAAAAAAATGCCAAAGATTTTTTTAAATGAGTGATATATTTTAAATACTAGTATTTTTTTTATTGTCATTAAATAAAAGAATGGTTTGATTAATATAAATATCAGTCAAATAGTCCGATAGACAAAATACAGATTACAGATTACATACCCCAAAATGTAGTTTGTAACGGAATCCATTAAATTACTGAAAGTGAGTAATGTAATCTGAATACTTTGGATTACTTGATTTGCTGTAGAGAAGCAAAGATGAGGAAATCTTCACATAAGATGTTTTGTCTGATAAAAGAAAATTTTAAAAAGCCCAGACTTTACTGAACCAAATTAAAAAAATATTATTGATAGAGGTTTACACCTGGTTTAGTCCAAGTTTAGACCTTTTTTATACCTCGTTTTAGTCTTGGTTTAGTGATGGTTTTGTCCTACTTTAGACCTTGTTTAGACCTGGTTATAGACCTGGTTTAGACCTGGTTTTAAACCTGGTTTTAGACCTGGTTTAGTCCTAGTTTAGACTTTGTTTAGATCTGGTTTTAGACCTGGTTTTAGACCTGGTTTAGACCTGGTTTTAGACCTGGTTTTAGACCTGGTTTAGACCTGGTTTAGTCCTGGTTTAGACTTGGTTTAGTCCTGGTTCAGTCCACAGTTCAGTCCTGAGTCCTGAGCACATAAGTCCTGTGCTCAGGTCTCTGCACTGGCTTCCTGTGGCTCAGAGACTTTAAAGCAGCTCGGCTTGTACAAGTCTCTCCATGGCCGAGCACCAAAGTCCATCTGTGACATGTTAGTGTCACATGAACCATCTCGCACTCTGAGGAGCTCAGGGACCGGCCTCCTGCTGGTGCCTAGAGTCAGGACTAAACAAGGGGAGTTAGCGTTTCAGGTTCACGCAGCTAAAACCTGGAACAGTCTTCCTGAACATGTGAGACAGACTCTACTTTGACTCTGTTTAAATCCAGGCTCAAAACATTCCTATTTCACTGTGCATATAACTGAAAGGTTTTCATTCCGCACTCTTCTCTCTAATTTATGTCTCTCTTTTTTAATTTTAAGCTTTATGATTATTTATGTTTTGATTAGTTTTTATTATGATTTTAATGTATTTCTTATTCTGTAAAACACTTTGAATTACTTTGTGTACGAATTGTGCTGTACAAACAAACTTGCCTTGCCTTGCCTGATTTAGACCTGGTTCAGTTCTGCTTCAGTTCTGCTTCAGTTCTGGTTTAGACCTGGTTTAGTCCTGGTTTAGTCCTGGTTTAGACCTGGTTTAGACTTGGTTCGGTCCACAGTTTAGTCCTGGTTTAGTCCTGGTTTAGTTCTGGTTCAGTCCATATACGGCGCAGAACTTCAGCATCTTCGCAGTTATTTTGTTGAGAGTAACTTGAAAGTGCTGCAATAGTCGTGTAATGTTTTACATTTTAAATACAGTAATATTGTAGGTATTGTAAGTATTTAAACACAAAATCGAAAACTGAAAAAAAATAATCGTTATCTGTTTTTCATTTTGGTTTTGGAGACAAATAATGAAGAAGAAAATAGTTGTTTTTTCATTTTCTTATGTTTGGTTTTATATTGAAAAACGAATGAACGAATGACACACGGATTTAGATAGACTAATAATAAAGTGTTACTCAAACGTGTGTGGATGAAACAAAATACAACTTATTATATTATAACATGGTTAAACGCTCACAGGAGTCTTGTGTGATATAAGACCTTTAAAAACATATAAAAGTTGAAAATAAATAATATGTCCCTTTAAATTACAGGACAGCTTCATTTGTAAATTACACTCGTGGCTGTGGAAAATGTTGTAGGCTGAAGGTTTGTGAATGTGTTTTTAATTTGTTCTGTTTTAATTAGCTCCTGACCACATGGGGCAGGAGGGTGTGTGTGGCAGACTGGCACCAGGTTTTACCCGTCTGTCTCACACTGGCATGGTCGGGTCACCATGCACTGCCATCTATCGACGCATAGTGGTAATAACACGTCCCCAGTCGTTTTGGCCTCCTTGGATTCTGATTGGTTATTGATAATTTTGCTGCGCTCTGATTGGCTCTGGCACCTGTCGCTCAAGGTTTTCCGGGGTCATTTCAGTCCACCGCAGACTCTCGGTCACGTACACAGCACGTACACTCCTGCTGCTGTTTCCGCCTGTGTTTTCTGTGTTTTTTAATCCAAAATCATGGCCTCACGTCTGCTGCTTCGAGCCTGTGTCCAATCCACGCAGCACCTGAAAAATAATGCCGCTATCAGACCATTGCAACGCGCGTTTGCAGCAACAGTCAAAGGTATTTTTATTAGCCTTTTCTCAATATAAACTTATGTAAATATCATGCTGTTGTTGTTATCATCAAGCTAAACTTAAGAGCACTTTAGTCTGCAATGTTAGCATGTCTAATGTGGAATGTTACGGGCAAATGTAGTTAAATATAAATAAAACATAAATATATATTAAATTGAACATGTTAAACAATATCTGAGTATTACGTTTTTGTTCCATTTCGTTTTTTAAATAGTATAATTAAACCATGAAGGTCATCGGGGATTTTAATATGTCGCCCATTAAAAGTTCCACCTTCTTTTTGACGTGTACTGGACCAAAGCCAAGTTTAAGGACAGTCAGGAGTTCACAGCAACTTTATAATGAAGCAACAGTGTTAATCATTGTATTACTATAATGTTTTGGGTAATATGTTTAATGTTTATCTATTTTTAAGGAATACCCAGTGATGAGGAACAGGCTACTGGGCTGGAGAGAAGGGCCCTGCAGTCTCTGAAACGCGGAAAGGTACTAAAACTTAACCTTTTCAGACCATATTGTATGCCCAAAATAACTTTGCAACTCTCCTCGGGAACAATTTCAAGTGGTAAAAGTGAAATCTGGTTAAATATTTAAGTGTGTCATTTTACTTTTACTGTTTACAGTTTAGATCAGGGGTGTCCAAACTTTTTTCATCAAGGGACACATATCTAAACACAGACGAAGCAGAGGGCCGATCGAGGCTGCAGACTGATGCTCAATACAGGGAATAATTGAAATATGTGCATGTTTAACACGTTAGAATGAGTCCTTTATTCATGCTAAGATCCTTAAAACCACACACTAATTATGAAATATTGGCTTTATCAAGGTAGATTTTCAAAAAAACTTTTAAAATATTTTTTAATTGATGCAAGGTCATTTGGGCCAATTTTTCTGGAAGGCTGAGGGCCAAGAAAAATTTGTCTCAGGGCCGCATTTGGCCCCCGGGCCATAGTTTGGACATGCCTGGTTTAGATAATTGGGCTAGCCCCCCTTCCTCCAGGAACCTCTATTGTACTGTATAATTTAGACAAGAATACACACTTTTCCATTACTTCACAAAGACGTGAGTCTGAACACATCTGTATCAAAACAAACATGATTGCTTACATAAATTATAACGGGACTAAAAAACATTGCACATTTTTGCAGAATCAGTGAGCGAAGCACTAAACTCTGCAAATCTGATGTTAGAGAATTTTGACATTTATTTGTAAATCATAGGTGTGGCCTGTGAACTTCTTCATTTCACTGAAATGAACAGTTCTGATTGCGAGGCTGTGTTTGAGCCTTGAGGCGCGGGGTGTTGTCCAAGCTGATATTTCTTTATATTTAAAATAGAGAGCGGTATCACTTTGGACTTGCAAGGCAACCATCACTATATCACAACTATCTGTATTTTGAATCCCTTTTCTTATTGAAATATTTTCTCTGCAGGACCCCTACAGTATCCTGAAGCCCAAAACCTATGCTGGAACCAAAGAGGACCCCCACATTGTGCCAAGCATCAATAACAAAAGGATTGTCGGCTGTCTTTGTAAGTTTAAATCAGACAAAATGCTTTTATGAATTTGGTGGCCCAGAGGATGAAGTTGATACAGTCCCTTAGAGTAAGGGGTATTTTATTTCTCTAACATATTTAGTATCACAATGTTCCCCTTTTTTGTTTCAAAAATGCTATATTCGTCAAAAACAATGTATTAACAAAGTTTCACTTTTGCTGGTACTCGTAGTCTCTCCTCAGGCTTAAGTTTACTCCCCTTTTAGATTGTTATCACAACACAATCAGTGTAGAAACTACTAATGAAACATGTACAGGTTTGCATCCCGCTTTTGTGTACTTTGTGTACTAGACTTGTGGCCTGAGCAATGCACAAAATCTGAGAGCTAAGAGTATGAAGGGTTTGAATAGGAGAGATCACTAAAATACTCAAACATGCATGGATGACATCTCAAACCACCTCAGGCATGATTCTGATGAGGGAACAACATTATAACATGTTAGAACAATTATAAATAGATTATGCATAATACCCCCTCTTTAATACTAATTTTAAAATCTCTGCCTGTCTCACCTCTCGCCCTTTTAGTCCAAAGATCTGTTATTGACCACAGCCCTATTAAATCTGTTTGCAGTTTTGACCTTTCCATCAATCTCAAAGCATTTTGTAAGATCAATTTGTTTCAAGTTTCTTCTGAAATTTTATAAATTTTTAATTAAGAGTAAGATTACGTTTCTGTGTTATCCCAGTATTTAATATCTTAGTGACTAAAGTGTCAAAAGGTTCATGTTGGACATCTTAAATGATTTGAATAGACATTACACTTTCAAATATTCTTTACTAGTTTTGATCCTTGGAAATTCCGAAAAGTATGCCGTGTTTATACTGCCTACATCTTAACAGCTCAAAATACTGTTAAGATAAAAAGTAGCTGTTCAGTTGAAAACTTTAGTTCAGTAGAAATTGACAATCCCAGGTTTGAAATCCAAATGACTTAGTGAAGGTCTTGGAAGTTTAAAAACACAGTGGATCATCTGTTTTATCGGCTGGCATCACAAGGTGGAATGGAGTGTTTTGGGTTTGAGGATGAGAAAGCAATGATAACATGGATCAGAAAATAGTATAATGTCAGCCCTTTTAATTGATAGGCCTACTGAATACAAAATAAACCATTTCTGAACCATACCTGTGCATTTGTGTCCAGGTGAGGAGGACAACACCGCCATTGTGTGGTTCTGGGTTCATGAAGGAGAAATGGCGCGCTGTCCCTCGTGTGGCTCTCATTACAAACTGGTGCCTCATGAACTGCCGCACTAAACCGCCCCCTGTTGGCCTTATTCTACAACGACTGCACTTCAATGTCCACTGTACAGTTTGTCAATAAATAATAGTTGAATTAAAGTCTGCAATCTGTTGGGTTGGTTCTTCAGATTTTGGAATATGTCACACACAAGATGCATCTTTTCTTTATAAACACAAACGTTATAAATGGATTTTCAAGAAATATATTTATGGTTAAACTGAGCAATGTGTTTGTCTTGCCTAAATCACTGAAGTGCTACTATCTTAACCAACAACAATATACAAATGCCAAAGATTCTGCCTGTCAAGTGAACATTTAGTGCATGCAGGTGAGGAAAGTATAAATGTTCATGTTACTGGGTAGTCTTAGAGTAACAACTGTCTCATTTAAAATGCAATTATCCCTCCGTCCACAAACACACCACACCTAATCGCTGGCTATGATTGATCGGAGTACTTCAAAGGTTAGACTTAATACAAAACTAAATCTTAACTGTATAAATGTTTCTAAATCTGTTAAAAAGTAACTATTAAGTACAAATTTGGCAGTAGTACTTTTTTGGGTTCATCATTATATAATAAAGCTAGAATGACCTCTACTGACTTTATTTACCCCGAGAGAATAGCTCGTCTTTACTTGGCGATCCATGTTACTGATCAGATACTGTGTCCTACAAACACTAACATCCCCTACCAATATTTTATTTTAGACTGTTACTTTGTTATAAAGCAAAATCACACAACTCTTTAAAAAATTATCTTGAAAACAGAATTTATGCCGAACATAAAGTATAAGATTACATTTTCAAACACTGGATGCTACACACCACCATTAACAGCTGTAAATACATTTCCTCTGGTACATTTGTCCAATATTCAACCACTCCACTAAAGTAATATTTTAATCCCAATCTAAAACTTTTCACATGTTTTACAGGTATTAATGCTGTTGTCTACATACCATTTTTATAGCAGTAGTGCTGCTTGTCATTCAGATCACATCCAAACCAATAAAAGCTTATTTACAACAGCCTTATCAAATAGGGCTTCTTCAGAGCATCACAGCGCAGATGGAAGAAACTCAAAACAAAGATGATTTCAAGTCTAACCATCAGATTTTTTTATTAACATATCCCTTTGTCAGACTGGGAGCTGTGCATGGCCCTTTATATTTCTGAACAGTCTTTTTATGCGAGGTTGAAGCCCTGGTTTTGGTCGATAGCCTGCAGTAGTTTGGAGCGGAGCGTGTCCAGGTCGGTGTACTTAGGCAGGTCTAGCAGGTTAAAACAGGTGTGGGCCACGGGGAGGTAGTGCTCGCCCCCTCCCGTCGGCTGGATCACCAACTTCAAACTCTTCATGCCCAGAATAGGGATACGGTCGCTTCCTGTGAGGAACACTGGAGGGACAAAATGTTACAAAATAATACAAAGTAGTATAGCTGGTGTGGCATGGTTGTAGAACTACCCAAAACTAATAAAAAAAAAATCTGCCAAAGTGCTCGATGTAACTTTTCTAGTGGTGGATATGGCACGCCCCCTGCTTTTAAAAACTTGTCATCTTATCTTGTCAGTTATGATCAAGAAATATTCACAAGGAGTGGAAATGATTATTGTTAAATGCAGATTTTTGTTGTAATACAGTCAGTTCTTGGATCTAGTCAAAAATAGAAATGATCAGGTTCAACATTTGTAAATTTACTGATATTTGATGGCAAAGTAAAATGTAATTTTAGTAGAAAAAACTACAGTTTAAAAAGTGATGGTTACTTACATAGAAACTGTTTTTTCTTCTCTAAAGGAAGTTCATGAAATGCCTCCCAAAACAGGCGTATAGTCGGGTGTTCAGCCCAGTACTCCCCTTTATATTCTGTCGTCTGAAACAAAAATACAAAATCTGTTTAGTTACTTTTTTTTCATATCAAAACAAATTAAAAAACATAGGCTGCATGTGAATGTCCACACGATCCCTACATAGGGCCTGAAATATTGAGCATTGTGAGTGCCAGAGGTGGGGTCTTGCAAGTCGTGACTTGGACTCGAGTCAGACTTGAGTCACAATTTTTAAGACTTGAGACTTGACTTGATAAAATAGACTAAGATTTGGGACTCGACTTGGACTTGAAGGTCAACGACATGGGCCTTGACTCGGGCTTGAGGCCTGTGACTTGAGAAGACTTGATGCTTCTGCTAAAAAACTATAATCTAAAAACTATACACTTTGTTACTTTGGATGTGACTGAAGTACTGTGAGATGGTATCCTCAAATGTACTCCAGTAATATACAGTACTATACAATAAAACAGAAGGAACTACAAAGAATATAATCTTTCCATTTCAGCGCACATTACTTGACAAAATATTATAAAGTTATTAAGCTCTTTTAAATCTTAATTCTTTCTATTCTGACCGTAATAATTCGCACTCTTGTAGAAGTGCAATTTTTTCCTTTTTAAATGTCTTGACAACTCTTATATAAATATTCATATACCATGGCTTTTTAAGTACAATTTAGCTTAAAATTCATATAAATTGCAAAAATCTAAGCTATATTTGGTACGTTTTTGGTTTAAAGACTTGAAATGACTTGAAGCTCAGAGCAGACAACTTGGACTTGACTTGTACTTATGGGCCAATGACTCAAGACTCGACTTGGACTTGCCTGTATTTGACTTGGGATTTGACTCGGACTTGAGGTCAAAGAATTGAGACTTAATTTAGACTCGCAAAACAATGGCTTGGTCCCACCTCTGAGCACTATCCGAATGTCCAAAGATATTAGTGCACAAAAATTTCTTATAGTGCACTTTGGAAAGCAGTGTGCAGCAAATGTCACTGGTCTGATCAACTTTAATTTGCACTAGTAGAGAATTCTTTTTAAAATATGATGCTGTGGTTGGTTAAATAAACAACATTACACATTTAGATACTAGCGATTTACTGCTGACCATATTTTTACAATATAGTCAGTGGATTAAAGTAGCTTAAATATTATGGTGTATCCGTGATATTTTTCTGTAGCAATATATCTTACTTCAAAATGTGTTATCGTGACAGGTCTAAGTCAGGGGACAAGTGTTAAGGTGGATATTCGGACACAGCCTTATATTTTCACAGTGCAAACCTTCTCTAGTTCAGTCCAGTCATAGTTGGTGTTGCCGATGACCATTGCCTGCAGTTCGTTGGGTTGAAAAAGTTCCAGGACTTTTCCTCCACAGACTTTGTGAAATCCAGCGTAAAAACACTCAAACAGAGGCGCCACTGCTCTGTTGAACACGTAGTCTACATATGCGTCCACAAACTCCTGCCTGTAGAGACAGAGACAAGACAGATATCGCAATCGTTACAATTTAATGCTTACTACATACTTTTTGCACTAATAGTTTTACACTGTTCTTCTGTCCATACTGCATATTTTGTATTTATATTCAATCATTATCTATTTTTATTTTAACAAAGCCTTCTAGCCATCTATACATACAGTTAAAATTTTATAGAAAATATCTGCATGCCTTCAAAAATGTCTGACAATATTGCGCACTTGTAATGTACACTGGCGTTTGTACCTGTTTGATTTGGTGACGTTGATGTCTTCTCCGTTCGGCACCAACTCCAAGACTTCAGTCGCACCAAAGTGTTCCTCTGTGATCTGAAAAAAAAAAAGAGGAGAAAAAAACATTTCAGTAAATATGTCATTGGTGTGAAAACATGTCTTAATAAGACAATATGAGCTACACATCTTACCAAATAATGCTGCATTCAGACCATGGCGACAAATGCAAATGAAAATCCGTTTGGTGTGATTTTGACACAGCGGTCTGAACATAGCATTAGTTGGTCAGATGTGTAGTGCAGGAAATTTGAGAGAAATTTTGAATGAGTTTGTTGAATGGACATGAAGGTGCACTGTGTTAAGTCTGACACTTGCACTGTGTCTGACACTGCAGCATTTTCACAGGCATTAAACTTTGGCAAGCATAAGACACACCTAGCCAGATTCCAGGTAAGTTCTGTAGAGAGGCGACACCACTCACTGTAAAAATATTTTTCCAATTATGTTTTTCAGTTTTGATTTTCAGAAATAGAAACACAGGATGACACTGGATGACACCATGCTGTGAGAACAAGCATTCTGAACACAAATTCTGTTTTAGAGGACAACACAACTTGAGCACGGAAATCCGAACCAAGTCCAAACTGACAAATATATAGAACTTTTGTTCAGGTTCAGGTAGGACTCAGACACATCAGCGCGTCAGCTGTTTCCTGTCTACAGTAAAACCACTCGCTTTAAGACTCTTAAGTGTTCAAAAGATCAGAGCACTGCACTTCTAGTTTAGATACAAGTCAAAACTGAGTTTGTGAAAAGTGGTGCAATACTTCAGACACGTGATTTTTAAAGCTTAAAAGATTGGCGATAAAGTCCACAGGAAGTAGAGTCACTATCGCTAATTTGCAACTTCACCTTGATCCATGCGCTGTGTGGACGTAAATAGACACATGTGAACTACTTTCACCTTATTACTTTTAAAGAACGCCTCAAACCTGATTAATATAGTGGTTTTGTGGGCTGGGGTCATAATTTCAAAGGACAATTTCTATGGATAATGTGGATGAGATGCTGCACTTTAAATTTACCGCTTTATGAGAGGTGAGTAATAAAGTCTTCTCATTATTTTCGCTCTATCCCGTGTTTGTACTTTGCATCATTATGTCCGTTAGCAACAACACAAAGAATATCCTACGTGTCATTAGGCCTATCAAAATAGTGTGATTTTAACTGTGTCGGGTTCGGTCGGGTGCGAACACAAATATCTTAATGCCTATCGGGCTCAGGTTGGATTCGATCACTGCTCTGTTGAAAGCGGGCTGGACTCAGACAGAAAAATTCGACCCGATCGACACTTTAAATACAACTAATATATGACCTTTAAATATTCACATAATTTAGCGACTATGTAAATGAGTAAATCTACTACATTTTCTTTTTTGTCTTACTGTGAAGTTTAAGCAGAAGGTCTCCTCCAGATCATCCTCTGTGTAGTCCAGGAGGTGCTGTAGACTCCTATTTATACAAAAGTCAGAGTAACACATATGTATTTAGAGCACACACAGTATTTCTAATGCAAGAAATAACATCGCATTTCTGTTAACCATTTCTATCCTAACGTATTTTAGCTGTACATCCTCTGACCTTCCCACGTCAGGCATTAACTCTTTAAGGTCCTCCAGCGTTGGTTTCTTCTTCAGTAGTTTCTTGTACAGTGCCACAGGGAAGTTCAACTCAACTATTGTCAGGTTATAAATGGCCAAACCGCAGATGACCCCGATCAGGTTAAACAAATCTATGTCCTCAAAGGTCTGCAGCAAAAAAAACAACAATTTGAATTCCTGTCATAGTAATTGTATATTGGATTTTGTATAAACAAACCTTGTGTGAAAACCATATGAGCCGCGAGTCCTCGAAGTATCTGAACATGCCGTATTTAGGGTCCAAAAGTTCCTTCATAATCAACAAGAAGAACTCTTTCCTCACTCCTCCAGCGTCGACCGCCTCCTCACCCACGAAGATCACCTACAATTACACAGTCAGGCTCTCATTTATATTAT